AAGGGCTGGGGAGGCGGCGGGGAGCTCAGGGCGGAATGCCGCGGATCAGGGGGGACGCGAGCCGAGCCGAGATACCCCAAAAGGCAGCGCCCGAAGAAACGGCAGGGGAAAAAAAATAATAAAAAATCCCTCTTTAAAGAGCTGTTGAAGGCCGGACCCGAGGGAGGGGGGAATAAAAGGGGAGGGGGGCAGCATTAGGGCGCTAACCCTGCGGCGTCCCCGCACTTTTGGGGTTTGTGCGGCGAACAAAGAGCGGCCCGGCACGGCCCGGCTCGGCTCGGCCCCGATCCCGATCCCGGTCCCGGTCCTGTTCCCGGCCCCGTTCCCAGCCCCGGCATCCCCGGGCCCGGCCCCTGCTTGCGCTCCGGCAGCGGGGGCCTTTTCTTAATTAAACGGAGGGCTTGAATAAAAGATTCCCCATAAAATTGACGCCCGTCTTAAAACTTTCTAAACGCCGCTATAAAACCCTTTTCATAAAATTAACTGGGAAATGAGTTACCGGCCCGGGCTGCTCTCAGCCCGGCTCCTCCCGGGGCCGGTCGAGGACGATCGTGGCCTCCCCGAGAACCGGGCTGCGAGGCCGGCTTCGCCCCCGCCGTGCCACCGGGGCCGTGCCGAGCCCAGCCGTGCCCGGCTCCGCGCCCCTCGCCGGCTCCCACGGCCCCGGAGCGAGCCCCGAGAGCGGCGCCGCTTTTAGGGCGATTTCCTTCGGGTTTATCATTTCTTAATTTTGGGGGGGGGGGGAGCGCAGCTCCTAGCCTAGTCAGAGCACGAGGCGCCCCGAAGTTCATTAGTGCTAATTAATGAGGCGGAGGGGGAGCGCTGCCCCGTGCTCCCCCCCCCCGGCTGCCCTGCGCGCCCTGCCCGTGCCGAGCCCTCTCCGCGCCTCTCGTTGAATAATAATAATAAATAATAATAATAATAAATAAAAAAACACCGAAACGTTGGGTGAAACTCTGGCTGCTTAATTAAAAAATCAAATCAAATAAATAAATCCGCTGGGCTGCTTTGCATTTGAAGGATTGAGCTGTTGTGCCGTCTACTGGGCGCTGCGAAAAGTGCAGCCGGGGCTGCGCAAAACCCCGCTCCGGGCTGCCCCGGGTGGGGGGCGGGCTGGGGGGCAGCGGGACGAGGGGCTGAGCGCTATGGGGGGGGGGTAAAAAATAATAATAATAAGGAAAAAGGGGGGAGATAGCGCACCCGCCTTTAAAACGCCCTCCTGAGCATCCCTCCGTGCGGAGAGAGCTGCAGCGGCCCGGTGAGGGGGGCCCGGGGTGCGGGGGGGGCCGGGGGGGTCCCGGCTGCAGCCTCGCACGGAGCCCGGCCGGGAGCATCGGGCAGAGGTGGCTGCGGGGGGGGGACATCGCCCCGGCCTTGAGCGGCGGGGGAGATGTTGGGAATAAAACTTCGGGGTGAGGTGTAAAAAAAGTGTGTGTTTTCTTTTTTTTTTCCCTTACTTTTCCTTCTTTCTTTTCCCTTTCTTTCTCTTTCATTTCTTTCTTTTCCTTTCCTTCTTTTCCTATCCTTCCTTCCTTTATTTTTTTTTTCCTTTCTTCCTTTTTCTTTCCAAGAAGTTTGCCGGGTGGTAGGAGCCGGTCTGCAAAGCCCTGCTCGCCTTTGCAGGGTGCCAGCAGCCTGCAAAGACAAAAAGCTGCCCCCCCCGAGGAGCTGTGAAAGCCCAGAGCTCCGCTCCCCTCTGGGGAAACCCCCGGGACCCCCCAAAAACCCGAAGCACCCCCGCAGAGGGGGTCGCAGCCCGGCCAGCCGCGGGGGGAGCGCAGCCCCTGCCGCTCGGTGCAGAGCCAGCGCTGCGGCTCCCTCCCTTCCGAGTCACTTGGGAAAGTTCAACAGAGGGTGACATTAGCCTAAAATATTCGATACCTTTTCCCGGAGACTTTCCCCGCTCCTGCTGCGCTAAAGTCCAGCTCCGAGTTCGCGCCTGCTGCCTCCGGAGGAAAAAAAAAAATAATAATAAAAAAAGAAAAAAAAAAGAAAATAAAAACCCTACAAAACCCAGCGACCTGGCTGATTTCTGCCAGCCAGGACCACGGGCGCTTCCCCCCCGAGCAGACAAAGCAGCGAGGAAACGTCCGCCGTGCCCCCGGTGCAAGCAGCCCGGCGGAGCACGCTCCCCTCTACCCGGGTGGCAAAGCTCTCTCTGGGGGTGCAGCGTGGCGGGGACCGGGCTCAACCCCCCGATTTCGGGCTGGAAACGGAGAGCCGGGACCTTGGGGCGCCCCGGGGAGCCGCAGCACGGCGGAGCTGCGCCGGAGCCCCGGCCACTTGCTGCTTTTTGCCGACCAACTCCTTTCGGGCACCGCTCCCTCCCCGCTACCTGCCGCGTCCCCGCCGGCACCGGCGAGAGCCGGGGCAGAAATCACGCACACGCTGGAAATAAGAAATTCAAAAAATAGTAATAATCCACCCCCGGGAGGGTAACAGAGAAGGGAAGTGCTCTGCCGGCTCCGCACGGCCGCAGCTCCGGTGCCACCCGCTCCCGGTCCCACTCCCGGT